TAACACCTGCCTTCAAAGACGCTGTGTTGGGAGTTGAAGAAAGTAATGCCCGCCGTCAGTAATGGAGGGAAGCGTTTTCTCTGGGTGGATAGTACATAGACTGTCACTCTGAGCTTTGGAAACGCTGACCTAAACCTCTGACTATGAGATTATGTTCCAAAAATCCCAAGTCCACTGGTGGAGTCTGCTGTTGGAGCTTTTCCCAAAAGTAAAAGTCCTGCTTCATTGCCTTTGTTTTCCTACCTGAGGCAGTCGTTCTGTTTTTCCAAGCTTTCTTTTCTTCTTCTTCTTCTTTTTTTTTTTTTTTTTTTTTTTTTTTTTTGTTTTCCGAGACAGGGTTTCTCTGTTCCTTTGGAGCCTGCCCAGGAACTATCTTGTAGACCAGTCTGGCCTCGAACTCACAAAGATCCGCCTGCCTCTGCCTCCAGAGTGCTGGGATTAAAGTCGTGCGCCACTACCGCCCAGCTCGTGCTTTTTTTTTTCAATTGCTGTTAAGTTACTAAGTCATTGAAGTGATCTTGTATTTATTTGTTTTCAGTTGAACCCAAAGTAACATCTCCTACAAGACAAAGGGTGCCAGGTATGTTGTGCTGATGATCACACCTGCAGCCTCCGTCGCCTTAGTCTTCGTAGTAGCCGGGTCTCCAAGGCCTCACCAGAGCACATCCTTCCCATGCTTTTCATTGAACTCTGCTGGAATAGACAAAGATATAAAAATATCATGGTTTTCCTACCAAATTCTGTCCATAATAGCAGGATGCTATCTACATAGGATAGCTCCTGCTGGGGATGGTCAAAACTTACCTCTCTTGCTGCTCAGAGCATTGTCTAGATCCAGGCACCGGTTGTCAGCCCCAGTCATGTCCTTATCACACCATGTCATCTGTTTCCAAGAGAACTTATGATTGTAATGACAAAGGTCTTGTCATTGATTCCAGCCTGTATCCATCTGTATGATCCAATGAACTAGAAGAGGCACTCTATTCAGACCAAGCCTGCCTCTGCCTCCTGAGTGCTGGGGTAAAAGGCATGTGCCACCTCTGCCCAGTTCCTCTATTCAGATTTTGTTCAGCTTTTTTCTCCTCCAAGTGAATGGTACCAAGAGTGTTCCCTTTTAAGTCCCTGCACCAGCTGCTACCTGAGACCCAGAATGTGACCTTGCTCTGAAAGACCCTACAGACCCCCTCCTCAAAACCCGCAGCTAGCATGCTCCCGGGGGAACGTCATGTTTGTTTTAAACAAATCTCCGGATCAGCAGCCAGCCTCCTCCCATTAGAACATCCCAGGTGCCTGAGAGAACAGGAGATAGAGATAGGAAGACTGCAAGGCAAGATGTCAATAAGATAGGATGTCAACAAAGCAGGTTAGCTATAAGATAGCAACAGGATGATTGTTGCCAGGCATCCATGCTGAGAGAGGAAACCTTTCATGCCCCCCGCCGCATTCCGATAACCACGCTTTTGCTTCTGTAAACTTGCTTTTTGCTCTTCCCTATAAAAAGCCCGCCCTCCAGTTGGCAGGTGCGCAAATCTTCCGAGAGATCTTGCTGCCCACAGGTACCTGTGTCTATTCAATAAACCTCTTGCGATTTGCATCCGTGCGGTCTCTGCCTGTTCCTTGGCGTTGGGGAGGTCTCCTCCCAAAAAGAGGTCCTCGTCGAGGATCTTTCAGCTCACATTGGTGACAAAACACATATTATGCTCTGGAGTTTGTCTTCATTGAGACAAGACCTTATAGTCCAGACTGAGTTAAAGCTCTCTGTGTAGCTTGGAACACTTGATCATCTGCCTCGCAATGCCGAAATTATAGGCTACTAAGCAAATCTGAGGCCAGCCTGAGCTACGTAAGGCCCTGTCTGAGAGAGGGAGAGAGAAGAGAAATCTAAAGTTCCTCTGTTTTACAAACCAGGCCTTAAGTTTCAGTTTCTTAAACATAGTGCTGTTAACAATACTCCTGACAGCAGGGACAAGGGAGAGAGCATGTACAAGGCCTGTTTCTGCCACAGAGTATCTCAAAGCAATGACCAAATAAGGACAGTTCCTGCAATCCCTTTGAAACATATCCAGATTTGCCCAGGTAAGATGGGAAAAGTAACCCCAACCAGTCAAAAATATACTAGCGTAACTGTTACTGCTTGACCAATCATGTTCAAGATGACCTAACTTCCTGGAATTCCCCTAATTGTGCTTAGAAGGAGCCTGTGTGCTACTCTCAGGGTCACCATCTGTACAGGTGGTTGGCCCTGCATGCTGGTAGTTTCTGGAGAATAAACACTTCTTACATACCATTCGAGTCTGGGGGTCTTTCTTCAGTGATTCTGAGATCCTTGAAGAGAGAGAGTGCATGGTGCACAGTCAACTTATCTTGAAAGCACTGAGTACTGGCTCAAGATTCAGCTATAGCCCTCACTCAGATTGAAGAAACTTGAATAAGTCTCTCAAAAGGAATGCTAGGGTTGGTGTGTAACTCAATGATAAAAACATTGTGGTTTGATCCTTATAACAAAATACTGAAGAAAAACAAGGAACCAAAGATTTAGTCCTTGGTTAACTGACCCCATTGCTTTAGACCTGGGACAGGGCAGAGACATGATAGCAGAGAAAAGCTGCTGACCCTCAGGGACAACTAGGAGTCTCAGACAAGTGTAGCCTTCCAAGGCATGCTCTAGCAGCCTGCTCCCTCCCACTGGTCTCCCTTCTCTCGGCCCATTCAGAATAAACCGATCAGCATTAGCCCATGGGTGATGCTGGCACCTATACCACATCGTATGATGTAGGGTCCAGCCATCTCACACCTCAGCTGGATGGTACTTTAAAATGAGATATACTTCCTGTCCTGCCCAGTTCCTGCAGTCATTAAGTCCCAAAGAAATCACACAGAGGTCTACATCAATTGTAAACTGATTGGCCCATTAGCTCAGGCTTTTATTAACTTTTATAACTTATATTAGCCCATTATTCTTATCTGTTAGCCATGTGGCTCATCAGTTGAGCTCACTGTACTCAGTCTCCTGAAGCAGTGTCCCCTAGGGAGTTGACATCCCATCAAGGAACAGCGCTGACTATCCATTACCAGCAGTTAGTAAGGTGCACTGTTGGAGGCCACTACTTTTAGGCCTTTTGGCCTGGACAAGATGCAATGGCACAGGGCAGTTTGGTTACCTTGTGTTAAGGGGCTGTAGCCATAAGATCACCTATGATGCTATTTTGCTGTTGTTTTCTCAAGACAGGGTTTCTCTTTTTAGCTTTGGAACTCACTGTCCAGACCAGACTGGTCTTGAACTCAGATATCCACCTGCCTCTACCTCCCGAGTGCTGAGATTAAAGATGTGTGCCACCACTAACTGGCAGAACATGATAGTATTTAACATGTATAAGATCCTACATTTTTTTTTAAATCTATTTATTTGTTATGTATACAGTATTCTCAGTGTTCTGTCTGCATGTATGCCTGCAGGCCAGAAGAGGGCACCGGATCTCATTACAAATGGTTGTGGCCACCATGTGGTTGCTGGGAATTGAACTCAGGACCGTTGGAGGAGCAGGCAGTGCTCTTGACCACTGAGCCATCTCTCCAGCCCTATAAGATCCTACATTGAAGAAAAAAAAAGAGTGCTAGAATAAGAAAATTAGTACTCCTAAGCCACAGTTGACAGGTTTAGTTTGTAGTTTGCTGCCATTTGAGACAGTCTTGTTTCACAGCCCACACTGGCCTCAAACTCAAATTCCTCCAGCCTGAGCCTCATACTTGAACACAGATGCCAACCACCATGTTGCCCATCTTGAAATGGTTTAATAAACTTTATTACAGCAAAGAACTTCTTTGTTGCATGTTTTCAAATAAGATATGAAGTGTAGTAATAGGAGCGGCAGGGCTGCATCCCCAGCACCCCAGCTGCCTGGCTAGCTTATGCCCAAAATAACAACACACAAACTGTATTCATTTAATCACTGCTTGGCCCATTTCTATCTAGCCTCTTCTAGGCTAACTCTCGCACCTGGACTAGCCCATTTCTAATATTCTATGTAGCACAGCTAGGTGCGCTTACCGGGAAGATTCTAGCCTATGTCCATCCTTGGTCGGAGCTTCATCCCTTGCGTCTGCCCAGGAGCCGGGAGCATGGTGTCTCTCTGAGGCGTCTGCTCCCGAGAGGAGAGCTGTGGAGTCTGAGCTCACTTCCTCTTCCTCCCAGCGTTCTGTTCTGTTTACTCCTTTCACCTATCTTCTAACCAATGAGGGCCAAGCAGTTTCTTTTTATTTAACCAATGACCTTCCTCCATCAATGAAGAAAAGCATTAATAACAAATTTCATGCCCTTTTTAAAAAGTCTATCAAATAAATTCAACATTCAGTTTACACATCTTAAAATGATTTTTATTGAATGGGTTTTAACAACATTGTTTTTAGACAGTGTGGCTACCACACACAAAAACAACACTGTCGTGAATGCTGTTGCATAGCCTCGGTGTCACCTAGCACGTTTGTATTTGGAATACAGTTAAGCTCTGACATCACATAATCAAGCAAACAGCAATGCATACTCTATTATTTAGAAAGACTTTGTGCATTTCAGTAAAAAATCATTTTGCAAGTGGTTTCAGCTTTAGCAACAGTCTCATTTGACACACTCCATATTTCATGCTCTCAAAATAAGTGGCCTAAAACTAGGTTTTTTTAAGTTACTGACATTAATGAATACCATTCAAGTCTACAGAACTAAAGTTTAACATTTTACATTATAAGCAGCAATAAGTTACTGATTATCTGGTGACAAATTCCATTCAAACTAAATACATCCTGTTACATTCAAAAGACATTTTGTAAATTTTAATATGCAATTTTGTATGCTACAGTGCAAAAGAATTAACATCCTAATGTTTCCTGAGCTTTAAGAAATTAACAATTTTCTGACCACTACTCTCAATTTAAAATAAGCTCCTTACTATGCAAAGCCATGTCAAAGCTATACAATTAAATTAGGTTGTTTTGAGAACTGAAAAGATTGGCTTAGGGTAATGAAAAGGTTTTCAAGAAGAAGTATTTACATCACTGAAGAGGGCACCTGGGTCTGCCCAGAACCAAAGTCAGAGAACCTAAACAGTACACTGAAAGACATGGTAAGTTATTTAAATATTACCAACTTATATTACACATTTAAACATACCCTCCCATAATGCCCAGTACAAAGGAATAAATGTGACAAAAGGTGAAAAATCAAAGAAATAAACATGCTTTAAGGAATGACTTGAATGCGCGTGCAAGTGCGGACGACTTCTCGTTAGAGCTCTGGACCCTCAACTACAACGACCGAGTTTCTACTTCAATCTTCTCCTCTGCTTGCAGTACATCGGGGTCCACATGAACCACCGGAGGTCGAAGAATAACTTCAGGCCCTCCACCATATATGGACTGCAGGAAATTCCATGTTTCTTCTGAAATTTGACCAGAGTCTGCTCCTAAAATTGTGTGCATGCAAAGAACGATGTTTACAAACATGAATATATTGCAGAATATAAGCTACAACACGTAATACTTTTAAATGTCTAAAGTTGTGTATTCCTAGTTCTTTTTTTTTAAAGCAATGTCTTTAATTTTGAACATTTTTTTTATGTTCTGTCTGCATGTATGCCTGCCCACCAGCAGAGGGCACCAGGTCTCATAGATGGTTGAGAGCCACCGTGTGGTTGCTGGGAATTGAACTCAGGACCTCTGGAAGAGCAGCCAGTGCTCTTAACCTCTGAGACATCTCTCCAGCCCTATTCCTAGTTCTTACCTACAACTCTAAAACCCTCCCACAACTAACACACACTGCTTTCCCACCCTTTATTCTACTGTAAGCCTGAACATCTCTGAATTAGGTTAATTAAAATAACAGGATGACTGGTTAGTATTTCTACCAGTGAGAAATCGTCACAAGTAAAGGTTTCAGCATTAATAAAGCATGTGGTGCAGGCCCGTGATCCCCACACGTGACAGGGAGAAACAGGAGGATCACAAGTTAAACCCATTCTGGGCTACATGGCACATTCAAGGCCAGTCTGGGGTACACTGAAAAGAAACTCTGTGTGTTTATTAAACAAACTTACCTTGCTTGAGCATCACATTACCACATTTAGTGACTGCAATTTTAGTGTTGTCGATAGGACCTGGAGGATCTAAATCAAAATGATAAAAGAATTATAAAATAAACACGTTCAAAGAAATGCTGCAAAGAAGTACATAATTTTATAGCTGAAATAACTGAGAACTACCAATAAAATCTAGTTAGTTATTTACTTACTTTTTATGAAATGCCATCTATTTTAAGTATCTTCCCAGCTTTGGGGATTTCAGTTGACCCAAAAACAACCAAGAAAGGTGAGAGGTCACCCAGCAACAAAGTCTAACAGTTTCTTAAGTGCTCACTGAGAACTACACATCAGATATTTTTTATGCTACAAAAAACCTTTGTAATATAAAAAAATATAAAATTCTCAGTTCCAAGTTTATTTATTTAAACCAAAATCATTATAAAATGAAATATTAAGAAGCCTCTTTTCTTTGAACATGAAAGTGCAATACTTCTCCATTCTCAAAAAGCTCCCAACAGACACGAGGAAGGAAAATAGGCATACGGTTTTAATGTATGTGTGGTCTGCTTTTGCATAATACATTGTTTAAAATACAGTTGAAGGGGCAGTCCAGGAGGACCAGTAGAACAAAGTATAATGCCGTTATGTTTAAAATTGCCATAATTAAGTCCATCACTTTGCTAACTTAAAAAGTAAACCAAGAAATTCAAATACATACATACATTTTTGTAAGCAACTCAACATATGAAGAACAGCTTATTTTCAAATTATTATTATTAATAGTAGTACTAGTATTGGAATAGATTCTGACTGTATAATCCTGGCTATGTGGAAGAGGCTGGCCTTAACTCCTCAGATGTCCCTGCCTCTGCCTCCCCAATGCTAGGATTAAAGGCGTGCACCAGGCCTTATCTTCAAATTTTTATACATAATTATTTTAAAAGGTCCACACTGTGTTCCACTGTACTAGATAAACTATAATTGACTCACCATTCTGTTGTGTGATATTTTAAGGTTTTTCTTTACCCAGGTTGGGAGAAGGTGGTCTTTGTGAGATGAAGTCTATTACACAGCATTTACTATGTAGACCAGGCTGGCCTCTAAAGTTTATCAGCATTAAGATTAAATTTATTTATGTATCTGTGTATGGGATGTGTGTGCCAGTGCCAATGGAGATGAGAAACAGGTGTCAGACTCCCCTGGAGCTGGAGCGAGAGGTGGTGATGAACTGACTGATGCAGATTCTGTCCCCAGAGGAGCGACAAGTGCTCTTAACTGCCAAGTCACCTATCTAGCCACTGGTATTAAAATTAAAGGCAATTTTAATTTTTTTATTCTTGCCTTAAGTAATAATTACAAATTCACAGCAATAAGACTATAAACTAGAATATAAGTTCCCTGAAATCATAGGTCTTTTTTGTTCACTAGTATAATCTCCAGTAATCACAGAATTAACAAACAAAACATAGCTAAGAAACTTTGAGTTCAGCACTTACCTCCGTCCTTACCCTTCACGAAACTCTCCCATTCTCTAAACCACTGCATACTGATACAATAAAAAGTTGCCGGAGAGTCCTCCTCTTGAAATGCTCTGTTGAGCTACAGAGAGAAAAAGTCAGACACCTAGTATCTGGAACTTGAGATATTCTCCTTCAGCATCCAACAAGGTAATTTCTCATACACCCGAGGTTATCTTAGTTCTAAGATACAGAGCAGTCTATCAATAAGTGACTCTAGATTATGTCTCAGAATATAACAAACATACAAAAGAGGAGCATGAGAAACAGGGTAAGAGAAGATGTCTGAAGCAAAGAATCCACTAAATACTTCGTATGTTTATTAGAAAAATCTTTCACCATAGCCAACTTAAAAAAAAGTAAAGATCAAATGGCTAGAAACACTGGTATGAAAAAGAGGTGCAATTAACAGGGCCTCAAAAGAATAATAAAGGGTATTAGAATGCTAATAACATCAGCATTTCCTGTTGGGCACAAAATAACAACGATATATACTAGATAAGGACAGACAACCAAATTCAGACTGCCAGTTCTTTAAGACTTTTAAATTGTTTTGTGTATGCCTGATACCCTCCTAATTCTCCGGCGTCTACAGTGATCACACACACACTTTTCTATTTACAGCTATTGATGTCACTGTCTCTCACCCCTATGAGCCTTTCCTTCAGCTCCACCACAGTTGAGCTCTCTTGACCACTTCAGCCCCTCACACTACTCTCAAGCTCTTTAAACCTTACTCAACACTTTGTCCTTCCCTAGAGATTTTTTTTAAGAAAATAGCTCATATAGCCCAGGTAGCCTCAAATTCCAGATACCCACGTGACCCCCAAAAGTTACAATTACAGGCATGTGGCACCACGCCCAGCTGCTCCTGACCCTTTAATATTTACCCAATTCAAGTATGCTGAGGCACTCAAAACCTACTTACATGGGATCCATAAAACACGATACGAAAAATTCTGGGTCTGTGTATGGTGTTTCTAAAAAAAAAAAAAATTAAGACCTGGACACAGTCAAAACAACCCTGTAAAGGGGCTGGAGAGATGGCTCAGAGGTTAAGAGCACTAGCTGCTCTTCCAGAGGTCATGAGTTCAATTCCCAGCAACCACATGCTGGCTCACAACCATCTGTAATGAGATCTGGTGCCTCTTCTGGTGTATATATGTTAACAGAACATTGTATGCATAATAAATAAATAAATCTAAAAAGAAAAAACAACCATGTACAATAAAGGAACTTCTGGAGGCATCACAATCCCTGACTCCAAATTGTACTACAGAGCTACAGTACTGAAAACAGACTGGTATTGGCATAAAAATAGACAGAAGGACCAATGGAACTGAATCGAAGACCTGAATATCAAGCCACATACTTTAGAACACCTGATTTTTGACAAAGAAGAAAAAATAAAAAAAAAGCATATTCAACAAATGGTTGAATAACTGGATATCAACATGTAAAAGAATAAAATAGATCCATATTTATTGCCGTGCATAAAATTCAAGTCCAAATGGATCAAAAACCTCAACATAAAACCAACCACACTGAACCTCATAGAAGAGACAGTGGGAAGTACATTTGAATACATTAGCACAGGAGATCACTTCTTAAATATGACCCCAATAGCACAGACACTGAGAAAAACAATTAATAAATGGGACCCCATGAAACTGAAAAGCTTTTGTAAAGCAACGGACACAGTCAACAAGACAAAACGGCAGCCTACATAATGGGGAAAGATCTTCACCCACCCCACATCAGACAAAGGGCTGATCTTTAAAATACACAAAGATCTCAAGAAATTGGTCATCAAAAGAACAAATAATCCAATTTAAAAAAAATGGAGTACAGACCTAAACAGAGAACTCTCAACAGAGGAATCTAAAATGGCTAAAAGACACTTAACAAAATGTTCGACATCCTTAGCCATCAGAGAAATGCAAATCCAAACAACTCTGAGATTCCATCTTACACCTGTAAGAACGACCCAGATCAAAACCACTGATGACAACGTATGCTGTGTGGTAAAGGGAACGCTCCGTGATTGCTGGTGGGAGTGCAAACTGGTAGAGCCGCTTTGGATGTCAGTGTGGTGATTTCTTAGAAAATCAGGAAACAACCTACCTCAAGACCCCAGCAATACTACTTTTGGATATATACCCAAAGATGCTCAATCATACCACAAGGACATGTGCTCAACCATGTTCATAGCAGCTTTGTTTGTCATAGCCAAAACCTGGAAACAGCCTAAATGCCCCTCGACTGAAGAATGGATAAAGACGATGTGGCACATTTATGCAATGGAGTACTACACAGTGCGGGGGGGGGGGGTGTAAATTGATGGATCTAGAAGACAGTGTATTGAGTGAGGTAACCCAGATCCAGAAAGACAAATATAGAATGTACTCACTCATAAGTGGCTTTTAGACATAAAAAGCAAAGAAAAACCAGCCTACAATTCACAATCCCAGAGAACCTACACAACAAAGAGGGCCCTAAGAGAAACATACATGGATCTAATCTACATGGGAAGTAGAAAAAGATAAGATCTCCTGAGTAAACTGGGAGCATGGGGATCATGGGACAGGTAGAAGGGAAAGGAGTGGAGAAAAATATATAGCTCAATAAAAACAATTTTTAAAAAAAGACCTGGGCATGGTGACATATAATCCCAGCACATTGGGGGTAAATGCAGGAAGAACAAACATTCAAAGCTAGCCTAGAATACAGAGACCCTGTCTCAATAATAAAGAAATCAAGGCAGGCCAGCAAGATGGCTCAATGAGTTTAGACACCACCAAGCCTGGTGACCAGTTGGATCCCTATGATTCATATAGTGGAAGCAAAGAACCAACTCCCTTAAGCTGTCTTTCACATACGTGGAATGTCAAAGTCATCACTGGTGTCTGTTACTTCTAAACCCTAAGGTCCTATGCTCACTTCATTTCCTCTGGTTTTTGGTTTGGTTCTTCAAACTGATCCTATCTGCTTTCTCAAGTTTCCAGAAACTCCACTTGTTTCCAGAGCACCAAGGTCACCTATTTCAGACCAAGCTGTTTATGACCTGGATATGAAATGTCCCCCAAAGGGTTATCCCTTAGGCTGGCAGTGGAACTGGGTATCATCTACATAACGCTGCTTTTGCGTGGTGTAAAATGTAACAAGAGCCTTAGAAGCTTATATCAAGGTTACAAAAAGCCATGGAGGGAAGGCAATGTGTAGCAGGGTCAGAGTCCACGTAAGGAGGCCCTGAAAAGACTAAGTTGCACTTGCCTTTATGCAAGAAACGTGCGATGTTTGCCAGGAAAGCTAATGGCACTGGGTGCAACCAGCCAAGAAAGGTCATATTTATCACATGCAATGGAACATAATCCTTAAGATTCTTTCATATTATTGCTTATGGGGTGGAGATATGAAACTCTGTCTTGTGTACTCAGGCCAGCCTCAAACTAGTACTCTATTGTTGAAGAGGATGATTCCTGTCATTCTGCTTTTTCCATAGGAATGCTCCACAGCAGGCTCTCTGTGTTGTTTTTTGAGTCTTCCAAGCTGGCCTCAAGTGTTCAGATACAGGTATATGCCAGGACACTTGACTTACACCATGGGCTCTCCATTGCTGAACAGTATCCCTCTGTACAACTCTAAGACATTTTGTTACTGATCTGATAGCTTTTGAACATTCCACTATTCCCACTTTAGGGTAACTTGTGAGCAAGACTGCTAAGGAGTTTTGTTTACAGCTTCTATGTGAACATAAGTTGTCATTTTCTCTGTAGTAAATACTTGCAAACAAGGCTGCTTAGAGTCAAAGACTAAGTGTTAAATCTATTTTTAAAAAAAGCAAACAAACAAATAAAAAACCCCAACCTACCAGGCTAGGCATATAGCTCCGTGGTAAATCACTTACCTAGCATTTTAATCTCTAATACCATAAAACAAATAAGCAAACAAATAACACATACCAGACTGCTATATCATTTAACTTGTGATCTCTTAAATTTCTATCATGGAGGAAAAAAGCTCACAAGCCCCCATGTCTAGTTGAGGAACTATTGACAACTGGTGGCTTCTGGAATAGAGAGAAAGTTTTCTTTCTTTTTCTTTTTTTAGATTTATTTATTATGTACACAGTATTCTATTTGCATGTTTGCCTACATGCCAGAAGAGGGCATCAGATCTCATTATAGATGGTTGTGAGCTGCCATGTAGTTGCTGGGAATTGAACTCAGGACCTTTGAAGAACTCAGGAAGCCAACAGTGCTCTGCGTCTGAGCCATCTCTCCAGCCCAAGAAAGTAGTCTTTTGTTTAAGGGTATTGTTGTCCATTAGGTAGACCATAGTACAATGACAGCCCTACACCCATGAGTACATGAGAAGCAGAAATTGCCTCAGTGGGTTATTTTTTAAAAAGGGATGGGTTGGTAGTGGTGTATGTCTTTAATCCCAGGACTCTCAGGCAGTAAAGGAAGGCAGCTTTCTAAAACTTTAAAACTAGCCTGGTTCACATAGTGAGTTTCAAGACAGCCAAGAGTAAGTACACAGTGAGTCTGTGTTGAGAGAGAGAGAGAGAGAGAGAGAGAGAGAGAGAGAGAGAGAGAACACAGGTGAGGTGTAGGAGTGGATCTGGGAGGAACAAGAGTAGATAAGTTGAAAATACACTGTATTTTCACATGTACAATGCAATTATGATATTCTCAAAGAAAAGCACTGCCACCAGATTTCGCCTACATTGCTTCTGATCATGGAATTAATTTTATACAAAGAAAAAAAGGTCTCACATCCATAAGGTTCACTGATCTTACCACAGGCTGCCACCCAAAAGCTGCTAGTCTGTAAAAGACTCAATTTCTGTACCCGATAGCAACAGTTTGCAGGCTTGAGAGTGTCCTATGTACTATGGTACATGCCCCCACTCTGGAAGTCAGTAACTTGTCTTCCCCATCAGTAGAATTTACAATGCTAAAATGTGGGTTATGGATGAAGAAAACCCACCCGCAACTTCCTACACTGGCACTCACAAAAACGTTCTCCCTATAGCCAGAACTCGAGCCTCTCCTGCTTCAGAGGATTTAGTTCCACAGGAAAAGTAGTTTTCATGGGACTGACTGGCCCCTGGTATAGTCCCTTGACTATGCTGTGTTTTTCAGGTCACTGACCCAACTGGGAAAGAGGAATTAAGAGTTCAAAATACTGGCTAAAATGATTAAGCTCAGTTACAGTGACTGCTTCCCAAATTATATTACACAAATGACGACTACACAAGAGCTGAGAGCTGAGAGCTAGGAAACAAGTGACGTGAGGGTGCGGTGCTGGCACTTCCCTTAACCTCAGCACTTGGGAGAAGGACCAAGCAGACCTGGTCTACACAGCAAGTGAGTTCAAGGACAGCCAGGGCTACACAGAAACCATGTCTTGAAAAACAACAATAAAAAGACCTCGTCTTAAAAATTTAACAGAAACTCCATTTTCTGTAGAATATTCCAAAGATAAATGATCACAAAATTGGTAACTGAAAAGGGAAATTTGTTTTTCAGTTCTGGAAACAAGCATCCAACATCAAAGTGCTCAGAGCACTGTTCCTGAAGATCTAGAGCCTCCACTTCCTCCTCCTTCAATCTGCCCTCCATCCTGCCATAGTACTCTGTCCCTTCTCTGTGTATCCTGAAAGGGACACTGACTGGATTTAGGTTTTATACAAACTTCTCAGGATGATTTCAACTCAAAATCCTATGCAAAGGCTCTTTTCAAGGTGTAATTGTCATTAAGGTCAATTCACAAAAGGCACAACATGGAAGAGCCTTTTAGGATCCAATATTCAATTGCATACAAATACTATTCAGTATTCCTATAACCTTTTACCAGAGGTTAAAACTTAACCTTACAGAAATCTAACAATTAAGACTATTGAGGGTCCAGACCCTTTGAGAATGAACATGCAGGTTCCTTTAGCAATCAACAGCCACAACCAGCTGCAGCCTGTACAGACTACAGACAACTCTAATGAGAGAACATACAATTTGGGAAGTCAAACTTCTTGCCATGGCAAATGCACAGGAAACAGAAATGCGCCCACAGGAAGACGAGAAGCAGAACTGTGGAGAACCGAGCAAGGCTGTCACAGCCGCGCAGGCAGGACCTGACGCCCACTGCGGCTCTCTCACTGCAGGCTGGCCATCTCTAGCTTACATAGCTTACAATTTGAAAGTGTTACATCTTTACCCGAATAAAAATTTCCAGTTCAGTTTTTCTTCGTTTCTCAATCTTCTCGGCCTCGATCTGGCAGGTGTGACAGATGTACAGGTGGTTGACCGCGGGTCCTCCTCCATACCTAGACACAGAGAGCGCAGGTCACAACTGCAGAAGGCCCGTGCTCGAGGACACTGCTGCTAGCTTTTTGTTTTTTAAATATTTATTTATTATGTATACAATATTCTGTCTGTGTGTATGTCTACAGGCCAGAAGAGGGCACCAGACCTCATTACAGATGGTTGTGAGCCACCATGTGGTTGCTGGGAATTGAACTCACGACCTTTGGAAGAACAGTCAGTGCTCTTAACCGCTGAGCCATCTCTCCAGCTCTGCTGCTAGCTTTTTTAATCAGTGTTTAAATTGCCAGTTACAAATAAGTCATGGGGCTGGCAAGATGGCGCAGTGGGTCTTAAAATAAGTTCTGAGTTTGTTCCTCAAGACCCCATGAAGGACTCAAAGCACTGTCTCCCTCCAGCTGCCCTCAGGTCTCCACCCGTGCTCCATAGCATGCATGCATGCATACATTACATAGCATAGCACACATTCACAGAATTACTTTAAAAAAATAAAAAATTTAAAGAATAAGTCCTATAGGAAAATTCTCAAAGTAATATAAAAAAAAATCACATTACCAACTCCGCTGTACGTGTCCCAGGGCAAACAGCACTGCCCACGTGACACCTACCCTGCTTTATCTACCTTTCATCTTGCCCTTACAGCTGCCTCTGCTACAGCGTTAAAGGGTTCAAAGATTAGCACAAAATATTCATAGTTATGCAAGCAAATTTTAATCAAATGAAGTTTTCCCATGCTCGAGTTAAAAGCACTTAATGAGTGCATTTTAATATTTAATTTAAAATGCTTAGAATGGAAATAACATTTAAAAACTTTATAATTTGGGAAGATATCCAATATTAGTAGCGTAGTGTACAACTATGAGAAATTTTGGTATTGGGGAGATGTATCATCCTTTAATGTACAAAATATACTACAACATATCTATAGACAATCATAAAATCACCATTATTTAGACTAGGGCCTCACAAACTAAGTCTTCCTACTAATACTTTAGAGTGACTAAATTAAGAAAAGGAATGTTCTTCCTAGGCATCAAATAATACAACACACTGGGCAGCTGTGACAGAACCCAACCCTTCTGTAACTGCTCTCACTTGCTTTACGACACCACACTGTTGAATTCAACAACAAACCTGCTATAGAGGTTATCCCAAATGTTCTGAGGCAGCATCAAAACTAAGTCTTCAATGTAACTAGCTTTTCGTGGAGGAATACCTAAAAAACATAGTTAACAAGTATACTTAATTTTTACTTTTTAAGCCATGCGATGGTGGCGCACGCCTTTAATCCCAGCACTCGGGAGGCAGAGGCAGGCAGATCTCTGTGAGTTCGAGACCAGCCTGGTCTACAGAGCTAGTTCCAGGACAGGCTCAAAAAAAATTTTTTACTCTTTAATTTCTCTATATGACTTTCAATAACTAACTTTTGCAGTGCTAGAGACTAAATCAAAAGTTTACTCAAGTAAAGCAAACACTCCCACACAAAAAGCTCTTGGTTGATTGGTTTTGGTTTTTTGAGACCAAGTTTCTCTGTGTAACAGCCCTGGCTGTCCTGGAACTCGCTCTGTAGACCAGGCTGGCCTCGAACTCACAGAGACCTGCTTCTGCCTGCAGAATGCTGGGATTAAAGGGGTGTGCCATCACCACCCAGCACATAAGGTCATTTTCATTTATTTATTTATTTATCCATTTACTTATTTATTTAACATACCAACCACAGTTTCTCCTCCCCTTTCCTCCCACCACCTCCCTTCTGCCTACCCCCTCATCCACTCCTCATCCAGCTCCATTCAGAAGGGGTAAAGCCTCCCACAGGAGTCAACAAAGCATGGCCTATCAGTAAGGTCATGTTTAATGGTGACTGGCCAATCCTTTTTTTTTTTTTTTGAGCCAGGGATTTACTCTGTAGCCCAGCCTGGCCTCAAACTCACAGAAATTCTTCTGCCTCAGACTCTCAAATAGTGGGATTACAGGAGTATACAACCATACCTGGCTTTCAATCACTGTTCTTAAATCTCTCCTTATAAAAAATGTAAGTAAAAAACATTTTTGGTAACTATGCTTCCTAAAGATGAGCATAGCATATGCCTTGAAATAAACATTCAGAATTATTTATTTATTTGGCAGCACTAGGGTTTGAGGCTAGGACCCTGAGCAAACCAAGCACGTGTTCAATCACTAACTGGCATCATTAGACTCAAATAATGCAACTTTATGTCTCTATATAAAATACAGGATATTCCCACCCCCGTATTTCCATTACAAAAATAATTAACAACAGCAAGTCTCGGACCATAAAGGTCAGTGCAAGCGTCCACAGAAAGGTCTTTATTACTGCAGGAGCAGACAGTAACAGCACATCCATCACAGGGCGTACATTACAGATAACAAATCCCAATCATGCTTCACACTCTAGAAAGCCACGTATTCACGAGAGAGAGACAGGTAAGAACCACACTGCCCAGGAACGGCCCTCCCAGGAGACGTGCATCAAGAGGGCTCACTCGACCGTAATTAGCCACCCAAGTATCTGACTCTAGCTCGAAATTAAAGCTTTCACAACATGGGACAGTCTCTGGCATTCTTAGCTCTAGTGTTAGGGTTCACACAGGGCCTATTTCTGAACCATAAGGGACCAAATACACTCAGGTCCAGATGGGGATGTGAGGGAAGGAAATTCATGGCTCTTTATTAATTTGCAAAGGATTTAACAGTGACCCTCTACCACTGTTTACATAACAATACTCCTTACCTCCATGAATGCAGAGAAAGTCATTATTTGAGATAGGGCCAGGTTCAGCAAAGGTCTTAAATTTATTTAACCACTGTCGAGATATATAAAACTGAAGGAGACTAGGCTCCATTATGTTCAGCAGATTCGATATCCTCCGCCTCTCCTTTTGGGCCTCTTCACTGCTCTTCCTGTGGAGGACAGAGATTCACTGAAGTTAATACACGTTTTACCACATTACACAGGCAGTGCGGCTCTTCACTATCAGACTTAAGATACATACTGCACTACAGATCTGATCAGTCCCTAAAGCATTTCAAGAGAAATAGTCTTTGTCCCACAGCTCAATACATTATACATTACCCTGAGGGTCAGCACTGAATCTTAACTATGGGTATCTATGTAACCCCTGGTACAAGGTAGACATTCAGTGTTAGTAAGATCAAGTCAGGGGGCTGAGCTGCATTCTTGGTTCCTGTTCCAGTATCTAGCATTTCCTTTTATAAGATGCTGAAATATATCAAAGATTTTTATAGTAATACCTTTTTTATTACAGGATATTTAGAGAAGAAATTTGGTATTTAATTCTGACTTTATATACTTTAAATGAACAAACTAATCCTGGGCCAGTGAGATGCTCAGGGGGTAAGGGTGCCTGCCAGCAAATCAGAGGAGTTCAATGCCCAGAACCCAACGGTTCTCTGACCTCCACAAACAAGCTTCAGTGCACACACGCAGCAACAAACATGCATATACACATAAATAAATAAATGCTAAAGAAAGAAATGAGGGGCTGGAGAGATAGCTCAACAGCTTGCTGTTCTTGCAGAGGACCTGGGTTAGATATGCAGAACCCACATGGTGGCTCACAGCCACCTGTAACTCCAGTTCCAGGGGAGCTGATGCCCTCTTATGACCTCCTCTGGCAGCAGACACACTTGTGGTGCACAGACTTACAAACATACAAAATACCTATATACATAAAATAAATTTAAGTGAACCTCTGAAAAAATAAACGCTTAAAAACAAACAAAAATCTTTCTAAAACAAAATATATCCCTTTGCCTGTCTATGAATTCTTGGTTTTCTGAACAGGGGGTCATCTATGAGCAGCTTCCTTCTCCTACTCGTAAGAGCACATTTGTCATTGTCAGAAGTGCGGGTCCTACAGAGATGTCCTTTCTTCCCGTCACCTGTAGAAAAGGACGTAGGCCTCGGCATTCTGCACGGTGGACTCGGAGACCTCAGTGACGCTCTGGTCATCGAACTCATACCACAGGTTATTTAAGCTGTTGCGGCAGTAAGCGATGTAGTGCCCACCTGGGTCGCAAGGAAAAGCGCCTGTTAGGGTCTATGTGTCACACCTACACGGCATCTGGAGCCTTACTGGGTCAGACTGCACTCAGCACTCCAGAAGACAGGAAGCACCAGACTTTTAGGCTTTTATTTTTGTTGTGAGATAACGCCTCACTATTGTAGCCCAGGCTGGCCGTGAACTGACAATCCTCCCACCTCAGCTTCCCAAGTGCTAAGAACACAGTGTGTTCCACCACACTTGCCCTAGACCATGTAGCCCTGAAAACCTTGTACGAAGCCCATCCTGTTAAAGCTGTTACCTTATAATTGCTATTCCGAATAGTCTAGGGAAAATATTTAGTTTTAAATTTAATGTCTCAAATGCCTCTTCTGACACATAATAATTGTACATATTTATGAGGAAGAAGATATAATTAGGGCAATTAACATCACAATCACCTTAAATGTGAGGAGTTCTTTGAAAGTCTCTGCTACCCAGGCTGGTCTTGAACTTAGCAGGCATTCAATGTTTACCAATAAAATCAAGCTAGATACTTAACCTGTATTCCTGGTACCTGACTTTTTTTTTTTTTTTTGGTATTGAATTCCTAATCCTGCCTTAGCTCTGGAGTATGGCAATGATAGGCATGTGCCACTACAGCCATTTTCCTAAATGGTTATTATTCACTTGGGTTAAGTCTGTTGTTTTTCTAATAATAAGGACTAAAATCTGTTTTTAAATTTTTCTTCCCTTGGTCAAGTGGGGCTTATTTAAGCAATCAACTTAGATACGTGTTTTTAATCAAAAACAAATGTCAAGCCTTTGTACTTACTGCTTGCAGTCCCATGATGACAGATGACTGACAGGAGGTCGTAGGTCACAATCTGCGCCGGGCTATCCTTTGCAAGAAATGGCTGAAGGTCCAGGCCTTCCAGAGGGAAGGAGACGTGGGTGCTGATTTTAGTAGAGAACATCAGCTCATGCCGAAACCTCTTAAGGTGAATACACAAGATCTAAAGAAAGAACAACCCGCATCCAAATGGTTAGGAACGTTTACAAGTGCTAAGAAGGACAATGAAGTTCTGCGTTATAAAAAAGGAAATGAGGCAGTTAATCACATACAATTAGAGTCATTTAAATGTATTTTTTAAATAATGTATTTTGGTTTTGGATTTTTTTCTTCCATTTTTAAAGGTCTCTTTGTGCAGTCCTGACTGGCCTAGAAGTTAATTGCTATATAGACCCAGGCTGGCCTAAAACTCAAGATATTTGCAGAACCACCGCACCTGTCTCATCTTATATTCTCAATAAGAGTCTCTGAAGTATTTACATAATCAAAGTAGGAATGATAAATATCACCCTGAATTCTAACATGATTCCAGACATAATTTCAGTGTGACAGAGAGGGCAGGGCTCCTCTTCCCAAGTTCAGTGCTACTGGTTCCTGACTGTACACTTCAGACCTGTAAGACCCCGCAATGTCTGGTGACCATGTTCAGGAGCACACTGTGAAGGGGTGTTAGTGTACCCCGCAATGTCTGGTGACATGTTTAGGAGCACACTGTGAAGGGGTGTTAGTGTACCCCGCAATGTCTGGTGGCCATGTTCAGGAGCACACTGTGAAGGGGTGTTAGTGTACCCCGCAATGTCTGGTGACATGTTCAGGAGCACACTGTGAAGGGGTGTTAGTGTACCCCGCAATGTCTGGTGACCATGTTCAGGAGCACACTGTGAAGGGGTGTTAGTGTACCCCGCAATGTCTGGTGACATGTTCAGGAGCACACTGTGAAGGGGTGTTAGTGTACCCCGCAATGTCTGGTGGCCATGTTCAGCAGCACACTCTTAAAAGGTGCTCATATATTTAACCCAGCCTCCTAACATGAATCCTAAGGGTACGCATGATGCTTCAGCCATGCCGAGTTACTACAGTGTGTGACGTTAATGTATGACCACATTTTATGAATGAGAAAAAAGAAGTCATACCTCAGGAAACTTCTGTACTTTACAAAACTTTACTCCATTCCTCAACCTAAAGGAAAAAAAATAAACCTAGTAAATCTACAAAACATTTATTACATTCAAGTGGACCACAAAAATCTTGCAGAAAATGTCAAGAAATAAAGTTATCAGAGTAGCATATCCCGAGTTATGTACATATTTACACACTAAATACTCTAACAATAAAATGCCCCTTATCATAAAAAATAACTTATACCAAGATAGTAATAAAGAGCTAAAAATCACTGTGCAATGCTTTGACTTGCCTAGCACGCACAGACCTCAGGTTCCATCAGAGACTAGCTATGTGGCATGCTCGCCTAGCACGCACAGACCTCAGGTTCCATCCACAGCACTACACAGGTCATGCGGGGGAGCGCATGCCTATAGTTTCAGTACTTGCGAGGTAGAGCAGGAAAATCAGACACTCTGGGTCAGCCTGCGGCTTCATTAAGAAGCTTGAAGGCAGCCTGGGATACATGAGCTCCTGTTTTTAAAAGCACAGCACGGAAGTGGGACACTGTCTACACTTTTATAACATGCAGATACTGCACAGTGCAAACTCCAGCTCTTCGAGATCAGTAGTTCAGGGCCATATAGTTATTCTTTTTATCTTGTTTTAGAGACAAAGTCTCACATTTATAATCCTCCTATCTCAGTGCCAAAATACCAGCATTTACCACACACCTGGCTTGAAAACCTTTATTATCCATTTTCATTTCAGGTGTTTTGAGACAGGTTCTCTCTATATAGCCCTAGCATTCCTGTAACTCACTCTGTAGACCAGGCTGGCCTCAAACTGACAGAGATCCACCTGCCTCTGCTTCCTAAGAGCTGGGATTAAAGGCGTGCATTACCACATCAGGCCCATGACATAATACATAAATATCACACTTACGATTAGAAACCTTTACTCTTAAATATTGGAGAAAATTTTGAGCCAAAGATTATAATAATTAACCAATATCAATGACCACTTGTCCGATCTGCACTGGGGATCTGGGGCGAACACTGGTTCTTCCCCTCACTGCTGTTACCTCTAGCTGGCGCGTCTGGCTTCATGGGGAGATACCTTCCTAGACTCAGCTTCTTTTCAGCTGTAAAACTAGGCACAGCCCTTTCTGCGTGGTGAGAGAGGGATCGATCCGTTCGTGGTTGCATGACTGGCTAGCAATGCTGTTCTCCAACAGCTGCAGGCTGACATCCGCTGTGGCTGCAGCAGCTTCTCCGTCTGTGAAGACTCTAGCTGGAGGGGCTGGAGAGGTGCTCAGCAGTTAAGAGCATGTGCTGCTCTTGCAGGAGACGGGGGTTCAGTTCCCAGCACCCACATTCCAATTTCAGGGTTATAGTGCCCCCCTGTAACCTCCATGGGCACTGGGCACATACTTGCTGCACATACGCACATGCAGGCATAGTAGTCATACACATAAAATAAAAATTAAAAATAAAGATTCCAGCTTTTCTTAGGAGTTCCTTTTTTCTATTTATAGAGATTCAGAAAATTTTTCCAATTCTCTCTACACCAAAAATACTTGTCTTTCTTTATCAAACTTCTACTCACATTTTCTGACATCATCAAGAGGTGTTTACTTTGTTTTCTGTAGTTGTTAACTTCTGGCTGGCCTAGAACACACTACCTAGACCAAGCTGGTAGGTCCTTGTGTTGGAATCAAAAGGTGAGTACCACCACACCCAGTCCAAGAAAGGGTTTTTAAAAGTCAAAATTATTACGAGACAGAAAAGGAAGCTGGTAGCAGATATGAATAAAATGAGACTTAGTCATCCTGTTGTTCTGCCCCATAATAGCAAACCTTCTTGCATGACACCAGTTACCATGGCAATTCAAAAGAGTCACTTTGTTTTATAATATAGTTAATGCAAACTCACAAACTTAACTTCATTCATCAAATCCATACATTTAATAGCATCTTACATCAGACTATTTAAAGATTTACCTTAAACGTATTTTATTAAAATAACCAGTCTCTTATTTTTGGAGGAAGGCTTTCTGGCCTAGAATTTTCTAGACATAGCATCAAGTATAACTCCAATGTGCCCAGTTCAGATAACCAAGAAAAATACAAAATACAAAGCCAAAAGCAATGTTACTTACTTTTTGCATTTTTCACAACTGTACATATTGTCACCTGCAAACAGAGCAGACCTAGTCACTATCTAACTGCAGCAAACTCCTCTCAGTTCCCAGATGTGCCCAACGTGGACTTCATAGCACAGCGACAGTGAGCTCGCTATGCTCATTTCCCTACCATTACCACCCTCCCTCTCCTCTCAGTCTGACACACTAACTCAGGAAACAGTCTCTGCTTTTATTCACTGAACAGAATTTACTGGTAGTCTGTGCTATGCCCAGACTGACATCTGCTGTATATGTGATATGTCCAAGCATGATGCTCAACACACAAGAAAAATGGAGGACCTTCAGAGAAGCTGAAGATGTAAAAACAACTCAAGACACATCTGACATCCCTTGTCTTCATAAGTTCTCCCTTCTCTGAACCACAAAACTTCAAAGTCTGTCATTCATTTGTATTAGAGAAATGTATATAAATTCTCATTGCATCTCCACTGCTGTGGAAGGTCGCCCATGCACATACAAGGAAGTCCTGCTGAAGCTGCCCAAAACCTCAGCCTTAGCTTCCCTACAAAACCAGCCACAAACGTGATTACAGTTCTTACCTTTAAGTTCATCTCTGGCGAAGAAGGCAGCAAGACAATCTTGCAAGGTTACTACTGGACCCCAAAACCAGCTAGGGACACATGAGACAACAAACCTGAAACATCATTGAAGAAGAAAAAGGAAGTGTTCTGCTAGTACAGCAGAAGCAGCAGCCAACAATCAGTCAAGGCAAAGAAAACAAATACACACCTCTTGACATACTCCATGAAGAAAGCTATCCAGCCCTGTGGCGCGTACGCTTCACCACACGAGCCTGCTTTGACTATGGTGGGGTGGCTGGAGGAGTGCAGCTTGGCCAGGTCTTCCTTGCCAGGAATCGGCAAGGACAGATCCTGAAAGGTCTCGAGGGTTACAGACACCTGCAAGTGTTTGGTTTTAATGGATGGAAAGAACCCAGCACAATTATTTATAAGATTAGATTTCTTCCAAAGATGAAAACAAGTTATTATAATAAGCAAATATAAACAACAAGCATATTGCTTCTAGAATGCTACAGACAGAAAAGAGCTTGGCTTGCTTTGTACCAGGTGCTGTTTCAAATGTAATCTTCATATAAGCCACTGGTATTTCTATCTATGGATCATAGATGTCACAGTGTTAAAAAAAGCACAGCAAATCCAGCCACCTGGCTACTGAAGACTGGCACGCAGATTCTTTGAGCGTGGGGAAGGGGGACATGCAGGCCTGGGTTTTATTATATGCTTTATGACCCATGAGGTTCTCAAATGCTGTCAAGTCATTCTCTTGCCTCAGCCTCCCAAATACAGAAACTGCAGGTTGAAAATAGTCTTAAATGTTGTTTAAAAGAGGGTGAAGAGAAAACCAGCCCTGCCATGGACCAGCATTAACAGCAGGGATGAACCATGGGAGATACACGGCTTCAGGCGACCATGGAGTGTAATACACACACTTAGATGACTACAATGCCTTTGGAGACAGGCTCTCACTACATGACAGTCACATACAGTCCATCCTTAGCTGCAGCACTACCCACACACGGCAAGTAAAAACACCTGGGTAATACACTGTCTATGTAAGATGGCCCTTCTCAACACCTTCCATTTGACTTAACATTCCGACACAAGGGACTGGAGAGATGGCTCAGAGGTTAAGAGCATTGCCTGCTCTTCCAAAGGTCCTGAGTTCAATTCCCGGCAACCACATGGTGGCTCACAACCATCTGTAAAGAGGTCTGGTGCCCTCTTCCGGCCTGCAGGCATACACATGGACAGAATATTGTATACATAATAAATAAATAAAATAAATATTTTTTAAAAAAAAACATTCCGACACAATAACGGAAACCTTATTTCTCTTGCTTCTGAGACAGTATTTCATTCATCAACCATACACACCCTGCACTGAAGTGAGAACGAAGAATTTCCAAAGAGCAGGTGTTAGTCAAACCCTCACAATAATTTTAATTTATGTTTCAGGCACGAACGTCTGTCAGTTTTTTTTCTTGTGTTTGTGAATCTGGAATTATCTTTATTATTGAAGCACCTATGTCTTTACAAGCTGCCTACAAAACCAAATGTAAGACACACTTATTGCCTTTCCTTGTGAACACAACCGTTTCCAGACACACCTAATTTCATCAGCCTTCAGAGAACAAGCACTGTTAAACTACCTTGTTGCCAAGCAATTTCTCACCTTTCTATGCAACCAAAAGAGACCGAGAGCTAAGGTCCTTTCCAAAGGACTTGTCTCATCCCTCCCATCTATGACTGACACACACCAGACATGTATGCATGGTCTGCAATGGCAATTTAACTCTTTGACTTCTTCAGATTCTTAAAGCCATTGGACGGGAATATGCTGTGTGCTACGGTTCCCTCCTACTCACCCTGTCGCACGTCAGACACTGTACTGAACTAATGATTGTTCCATCGAATATGTCAGAAATGACACTTCTGTATTTCTTATGCTGCTTTTTTCTCTTTGGAGATGCAGACTGAGCTAGAATTAAAAGAACATAAAAAGAACTATTAGTTCCTTGAATATTTTTCTCTAAAATATTTTTGCATTGTCTTGGATTTTGTTTTTTGAGACAGGATCTTATGTAGTATAGATTGGCCTCAAATTCCCTATGACACTACGACCGACCCTGAATCCTGGATCCCTGGCTTCCACTGCCTGACACAGGGTTGGAGAGTGCTGCCACGGCCGCTGCCACACCCGCTGCCACGCCTAGCTTCCTCAAGAATCTCTTCCTTTCTAAGGGTTATTTATTTATGAATGTGTATACTATGTCACTGTGTATGTACATGCGGGTGCCCATGGAAGCCAGAAGAGGACACTGGATTCCCTGAGCTGGAGTCAGAAGCAGTTGACAGCTACCCGAATTAACTGTTGGGTCCTGAACCCTATATACAATCTCAGCCACTGGGCCCTCCAGCATTTTTAGAATCTTTTAACAGTAGAAGTTACTCAGCCTGCAAGATGCTCAGCAGGTAGAAATGCGTCCTGTATGGCCTCAGACCTGAGTTTGACCCTCAAGACCCACATGATCTAAGGAGAAAATGAACAAGATGTCCTCTGACCTCTAAAGTATGCTGTGGTACGTGCATAGACACACACGCACACAAACACACATAAAGAAAAATTTTAATTACTATACTAAAGAAAAATTGAAAATGCCATCCAAGAGCATTACTTTAGGGCTGGAGAGATGGCTCACTGTGCTCTTCCAGAGGACCAGCACCTACATAAGGCATCTACTTGCAATTTTAGCACCAGGGGATCCTATATCCGCTTCCAGCTTCCATAAGTATCCAAACACATATAGCATGTATACACAGAAAAACACATATTCATGAATAATAGTAAAAATACATTTTTTAAAAAATCACTACTTAAAGAAGCCAATCAAAAATCAAATAAGGCTTAAGCTGTCTTTAAAGTATTTATGATTCTTGGTCACATAAAATGTAAATAGGGGAATATGAAAACAATCTGAAATTAGTTAATAATAAACAGCATAATAGTTTACTCATTTGTTCCATATGCAAAATAAGGAGTTAGCCCCCATCACTGGGATATCTATGCTCAAGTCAGAGGAAGGAGACGAAGATGGGAGAGCCAGGGTAAAATGTAAGGATGAAACAGGAGGGCCTAGCCTGAACAGCATCCCTTCAGAACAGTCCCAACTGTACTTGCTTGTTTTGCATTGGGGCTCATATGAAAAAAGGATTCTGTTAGTGAGGTCAGTTATACACATTCTTCCGGATACAGGTTCTTTTTCAGCCTACAAATATCTCTTTCTAATCTTATGCTGCCCTTTTTAAAAAATCTTAACAAGGTCCTTTGCCAAGACTTTTTAGTTCTTTCATAGATGGTGGCTTTGTTGTTTTTTTTTTTAAATATTTATTTCTTATGTATACAATATTCTGTGTGGATGTCTGCAGGCCAGAAGAGGGCACCAGATCTCATTACAGATGGTTGTGCGCCACCATGTGGTTGCTGGGAATTGAACTCAGGTCCTTTGGAAGAGCAGGCAATGCTCTTAACCGCTGAGCCATCTCCCCAGCCCTAGATGGTGGTTTTTGTTTTGTATGTGGGGGCAGAGTAGATGCAGGTGAAGTATGGAGATCAGAAGACAACTCAGGGAAGTCAGTTCTACCCTTTATTGTGGGTTCTGTGAATCAAACTGCGGTTGCCATGCTTATACAGCGAGACTGTGATCCACTGGCCCACCTCGCTGGCCCGTGTTTTCATGTCTGTAAGAATGTCTCTAAGGGCTGGAGAGATAGCTCAGTGGTTAAGAGCATTGCCTGCTCTTCCAAAGGTCCTGAGTTCAATTCCCAGCAACCACATGGTGGCTCACAACCATCTGTAATGAGGTCTGGTGCCCTCTTCTGGCCTGCAGGCATACAGACAGACAGAACATTGTATATATAATAAATATTTAAAAAAAAAAAAAAGAATGTCTCTAAGACCTTCAACTATGTTTTTTTTGTTCGCTTGTTTGTTTGTTCGGGTTTTCGTTATGTAGCCCTGAGTGCTCTAGACTCCCCTATTTAGATCATGCTGTCCTCGGATTCGAATCCACGGAGATCAACCTTCCTCCGAGTGCTGGGACTAAAGGCATGCACTACCACATGGGGCCCTCTCTTAGTTTTATAGTTTAACACTTTATAATGCTAACATTCTGATATAAAGCAGGTGGCAGTGCAGAATGGTACAGACACTCAGGAAGACGGGCAGCTAAGTATAGCACTGAGTATAAAATGAACATAAAACCCAGGAAATACAATACTCAGACCTTATCTCTAACAAACAAAAACTTAAGGATCATATAAAAACTATACACAAGTATCTACAGTGGTATTGTTCATAATTACCAAAAGTTGTAAACAATTCAAAAATCCCTTGATGAGGAATAAACAGAGGTTTGGGGTTACAATTGAAACGCGACTTGGTAGGGAAAAAATATTCAGATATGAAATAATGCAGTCAATTCTTAAATACATTATGCTACATTTTTTTTAAGGCTATTTCCTAAGCCTACCTACTGTGTAGTATCATTTACAGGGCATTCTGGGAAAGGGGACAACAGGAGTGGCAGGCGTCAGGGGTCCATCGGCCTTGGGGGAGGGCGATAACCTGATTAGAAATTGTAGGACAGAATGGGTTAAAAGGCACAGAAAAGGTGACTTAAGAGGGCTGGGAAGGCTCAGCAGTTACGCGCACTTGATGCTCTTCCAGGGGACCCAGGCTTGGTTCCCAGCACTCAGATAATGGCTCGCAACCGTGCGTTTCAGCGTCAGGTGAGCAGATGCCCTCCTCTCACCTCCGTGCCCAGGGACACACGTGGTGCACATGCACACATGCAGGAAAAGACTTATGCACATACAATATTAAAATGCACTATTAAACTTTAAGAGAAAGGTTTAATGCAGAGAACCACAGATAAAAAATTCTAATGGTGGTTGTGTAATTCTATCAACTTTAAGAGATCACATATTTCTTATTCCTCTACCAACATCGGAATCAGCAGTTTAAACTGAGGAACTGGAGTGAGGGAATTCTCTTACCTTTTTTGTGTGGAGGTGTCAGTCCCGGCCACAGGTTGCCTGACTTAGGTGGGCTTGCTGATAAACGTGTATTAACGCTTTCGTTGGATGGAAGACTCTGTGATGTGGACAGGTCATTCAAATGGACGTCAGTGATATATTCTGTAATATTTAAATTTTTATTATTACCTTCAATTAAAATTATAAATAAAACTATTAAGCAGTTTTATTCCATGTGGGCAATAATGCTAACTAATGGAAAGACTCCTTAATTTGATATACTGAAGACAGTCTATGTTAACAAATGCCAAGTGAAATACTAACAAAGTGTTTGCTAAGCAAAGTAACAGTGATTTTCCCACCTAGGTATTCAATTAACGTCTAACACAGTACTGCTATAGTCAATCAGCAGCAAGTAGTGTGATACAAAACCAAAGACAATCATACTTCCCAAATTTAGTAAAATTTCTAAAAATCTACCCACAAGTTACAAAAGGAATCATTTGTTTTCTTAACACAGGTCTCATGTAGCTCGGGCTGGCTACTCTACAAAGCCAGGGATGAGGTCATATTCCACCTGACCCTTCACCTTTACCTCACAAAAGCTGGGACTAAAGGCATGTACTGTCATGTCTGCTTCCTAAGTCTTTGTAAGACGTTTCTTCAAATTTTGTGTGCCTGTGTCTCTGTGTGAATACATACATTTGAGTGTAAATGCCACTGGATGCCAGGAGAGCTGGAGATACAGACAACTGTGAGTCACCCATCTTGGTAGCTCCACCCACGTTGTTTTTATTTATTTATTTTTTTCACTGTGCTGGGAAAGTAACCCAAGACCTCAAAAAATGCTAAGCAAATGTTCCACCACTGACCCATGCTCCCTCAGCCCAAGGATTGTTTTAAGTGAGAGAAAAGACTATTGTCCCAAATAAACTCAGTAATAAAAACCAAACAAAAAACTTAGGCATTGGGAGCTGGAGAAGTGGCTCAGTGAATACAAGTGCTTACTGCTCTTACAGAGGACAGAGGTTCGGTTCCCAGCACCTACATGGCAGCTCACAACTGCCTGTAAGTTCAGTTCCAAGAGATCATATGCCCAGTTCTGGCCTCTGTGGGATCCTGCACACATGTGGTGCAAACACATATACACATAAACAATCTTTTTAAAAAGAAATTCAGGTGTAAGTTAATCACATTTATTTTTACAGTAATGAAAATGAGGCCTAACTCTCAGGACACTATCTCTTTGGAAATTAACTATAGGAGGCACCAAGCAAGGAGATCTTGCCGCTGCTACTCTGACAGTGTGTTGCTAGAGTCTTAGTGCCTAGCATATCTATCTCCCAACACAAGGAACTGTGTTGAATGACTGTGCAAACAGAGAGGCAGAGGGAAAGCTGTCAATGAAGATATCAACCACGGGCTGGAGAGAGGCTCAGCAGTAAGAGCACTTGCTGCTCTTGCAGAGAATCCAGGTTCAGTTCCCAGAATCCAAATGGCGGTAACTTAAAACCATCCATCACTCCAGTCCCAGGGAATCTGACAACCTCTTCTGGCTTCACTGCACACCAGGCATACATGTAGTACACGTGCATACATGTAGCCAAAACACTCATTCACAAAAAATATAAATTTAATGATAATAATAATAATAATAAAACACGTCAACTATGACTAAAGAAGACAGCAAAATGTTAGTGGTGAAAGCCTTGTTCTGGACTTCCTAAAGAGAAGCAGAAAGGCTTCAGAGGGTAGTGAGCGTTTCTGTTCAGGTCCTGTGCACTACACAATCTTGGTCATAGTTTTCCCCCCAGGATCTAAAACATAAAATGGTCAGACCTACTTTAGTGCATTATCTAGTTACTGTGTTAAGAACAAACCTACACACCAGCAATAAAGGAGCAGTCTGTCCCTGAATTATGCTTCCCTTTGGCTTTTGAGAGGAAGTCTGGTTATAAGAACTGACATTGAGGCATTTACTGACTGGAGAACTTCTACCCACAGCGAGTCTGTAAAGATTCTAAGCACTCCTGGGGTTTCCCAGCTAGAAGGCACAAGGCAGTATTCCTACGCTAAGGAAACGCTGTTCAAGAAAGACCTTCAGTGCACTCCGATACTTGGAACTGCTTACTAGTCCTCTCCAGCTGCTACAGAGATGAACTTTGTGTTACTTCTTCACCACTGAGTCATCTGATTTCCTAATCATCTAAGTTTACAGAATTTAGATTAGCCAATGCCACATCAAGGTATAAAGAGATAAATATGGTATATAAAGCAACTAAACTACTTTCCTTCAGTTGGGTATTTGCCCTTTCTCAAAGGAACACTGTCCAATATCATGATATAATATATCCTAACAAAGTTCATGTACATATTGGCTATATCTACAGTGATAACTATTGGAATGCAATAACATGCATGATTAGAAAATTTGGGTTGGGCACTGGAGAGATGGCTCAGCAGTTAAGAGCAGTGGCTGCCTTTCAGAGTCCTGAATTCAATTCCCAGCAACCACATGGTGGCTCACAACCATCTGTAGCAGGATCTGATGCCCTTATCTGGCAAGAAAGGAAAAGAAAAATTGAGTTTTTCTTTTTTGCCAGGATGGCAACAGAAATAAAAGAGATAATTCCAAGGGGACTAATTTTTTAGATTACTGTGTGACCATATAAAGGAATTCTGATGAGCCCTTGCTTTTAAAAAAAAATGAATTCCTAAGTAAATGATCCACAAAATTATCTTACTTTTAGTTTCATAATTTTATGATTTCAACACTTAAAATGGACAGCATTAAACTTCAAGTCTATTAGCTAAAGATCCCCAAAGTAAGGCATGATAGCACTCCCCTTTAGTCTCAGCATTCAAGAGGTAGGTGGATGTGTTTAAGGATAACCTGGACTACACAGTAAGTCCCATGCCAGCCAGGGGTACACGCTGAGATCCTGCCTAAAAATAAACAAACGAGTTGTTTCAAAAGTGACAGTTAGGTAAGCACTCTCCCCCTGCTCAGGAAATACTATTATCTCACAATCTGATTATTAACTTGTCACCTGAAGCTCTGCCATGTATCTGCACTTTGACAGTCTCCTGGCTGTTCAGGTCAACTGCGTCACATACGGTGTCTCTATCTTTATCCAGTTCTACTTCAGACTCTGTTTTATTGATCTTGTTGCACATCTTCTCTTTCTGCCAGTCCTTGGCCATCTCCAGGTCGTCGGCATCCTGGATGAGCATGGTGGTCTCACTGCTGTCCTCAGCGAAGCCTTTGGAGCCGTTCTCATTCTCCGCTTTCTCACTGCTGCTGCAAGATTCGCAGGACTGAAAGTCCACGTCCGACTGGCTCTTCTCCTCCTCCACTGCTTCCTCAGAAGTCAGTGTTTGAGGGTCTTCCTCTATCTCCATGACCTGCTCCTTCAACTCCTCATGAAGCAGATCCATTAAACAGCGAAGGAATTCCTGGGCATCCTGCAGATCAACAACAACCACATTATGAGTATAGAGCAAACGCTTGTGAAGCCTACGACAGGAACAACACGGGTAGAACTGTACATCCGTAGCCCTCGCTCAGCAGAGCTGCAACACGCTGAATTCTAAAAGCAAGGCAAACAAAGCAATGCTTTGGGAAGAAACTGGATGAAACAGAAAATAAGGATTTTCCTCAGCTGATAACTGGAATTCAGAAATACATCCTAAAATAAATATTATGAGGAAGTAGAAAGAGACAAGATCTCCTGAGTAAACCGGGAGCATGGGGACATTGGGAGAGGGCTGATGGGGAGGAGAGAAGCAGGGAGGGGAGCAGAGAAAAATGTAGAGCTCAATAAAAAAAATCAATAAAAAAATTAATAAAAATAATAAATATTATGTAAGTTGGTTTAAGTTAGAGCTTTTCCCATCCATGGATTGTGTCTTAAAGAAAAATTCTTTATCGGGCAGTAGTGGATAATCCCAGTACTTGGGAGGCAGAGGCAGGTGGATCTCTGTGAGCTCAAGACTAGCCTGGTCTATAGAGTGAGTTCCAGGGTAGCCAGGGCTACACAGAGAAAACCTGTCTCAAAAAACTGGAAAAGAAAAGAGAAAAAAAATTCTTGATGAATCCCAAGAACATGTTGATAATATAGATTCCTGAGCTGCGAGGATGGCTCAATCAAGCATGACCATTCGCTATACGTGCACCACACACACACACACACACATAAATAATGTTAAATAAAACAAGTTCCTGGCCCACTACCCGCAGCACTAGATTATAATCTCCAGAGATTCGGAAATTTATATGGGAAAAGTTAGTAGAAAAAAAGTAATAGTTTGAGAAAAGAGGAATGTGTAAGGACCAGCTATAAATTCTCAAGGTACTAAAGAAACTACAATAACTGGAGCTGCCCTATGACAGCAGGAAAGGACACAGAGTTAGAAGGTGCAACACAGTGGTGAAACACATGCCTGGCATCCAACAGGCCCTGCAGCCATTCACTGGATCCACAGAAATGCAAAAACACACAGCCAGATGTGGTGTGGCACCTCTGCAGCCCCAGCTCACGAGTAGAGAAGAGGAGGAACCCAAGGTCATCTTCTGCTAAACAGAAAGGCCAAGACCAGCCAGGGCTATAGAAGACCCTGTCACTAAAGCCCCAACTCTACAGACACAAGGGAGCAATGCTCAGAAAGGTAAATGGAGAAATAACAAAGGAAAATAACATTTTCTACTTTTAAAGATTATTAAAGTGGAGGCTCAGCAGTTAAGAGCACTTGTTCTTGCAGAGGACCCGGGTTCAGTTCCCAGCACCCACAGGATGAGGCTCATGGGCCCTTGTAACTTCAATCTCAGGAGATCTGGTGCCGTCTTCTGGCCTCTGTCGGCACCAGGCACACATAGTGAACATGCGTACATACACACAGGCAAAACATTCATACAAATAAAATAAACCTTAAAAAGAGTAGGCTCTTTAAAGGAATAACTAACCTGCTGAGAATAGCCTCGGAAAGTTGGGTTTACAGTTTTAATTCCCTGGAACAGATTAGCAGGCACAACAGATCCCGGCCTTAAAAAGAAACAGTTTTAAATAGAGATTTTTGTAGGTTTCTTTTCATTTTTTTATAATTTTATTACTCTCACAGTGCACACTATTTTTTTAAAAACACAACTTCTAAACAGTGCTAAAAGAAAATTAACATAGTACATCAAATAATCACCAATATTACCACTATGCGTAGACACAGGACACAGGCAGCGGGCGAGGCCTACTCTGCCTGTCGTGCCCACAGTCCGGGGAGGCTTTGCATCTCAGCGAGAGGAACTGCAGCTCATGGATCAGCAGCTGACACTGATGGCCACAGCGCCTCATCTGCATTTCAGTTTCAAATCTAACCCCTGACCTAAGTCAAACCGCATTCCCACACTTTCTCAGCCCCCCAAACAGATCTGCACTCTTTCCATATTTATATATTGATTTTTAAAGATAATTATAGTAAGTACATACCTGCTCTTGTGCCACAATTCTGTCATTAGCTTGAGATAACTTTTACAAATTGCTGGCTTCTTATCTGTTCTAACCAGTCCTCCACAATCAAGAAAGAACTGCGTCAAAGGTGGGCTAGTTTAAGAGAGAGGAAAATATTAGAGTGGAATCAAAGCTGAATTCTCACAGCCTCTACCTGTCTGGCGGTCAGCCCTTGGCATTCATAAGCCAAACCACTCACGTGTGGAATCACCAAGTCAGAGGCCCAATTCCTCTACTAAAAGCCTTGCCTGGTTGCTGGTTAGGAGTCTCCACTGGGGTCGCCATCATAGATTCCTGGGAGTTTCCCCTGCAGTGGGTTTCCACCTCGTCCCCAAAATGCCCAATGCCAAGCATTTCTCTCAGTGCTCCTACTCCATCCTCCTTCTCCCCCACATGATCCCTCTGTTCCCAGCCCCACCTGCCCCATCCACCCATGAACTCTATTTTCCCTTCCCAGGGAGACCCTTCCCCGCATGTCACTCAGCCTCTCTGAGTCTGTGGATTGTAGCATGGCTATCCTTTACTCTATGGCCAATGTCCAATGACGAGTGAGCACACACCATGTTTGTCTTTCTCATGTGTTATTGTTAACTCTGACTGGGTTACCTCAGTCAGGATGATTTCTTCCAGTTCTATCCATTTGCCTGCAAATTTTATGTTATGTTTTCCAACAGCTGAGCAATACTCCATTGTGTAAATGTGCCACATTTTCTTTATCCATTCCTCCGTTGAGGAATACCTAGGTTGTTTGCAAGTTCTGGCTATTATAACTAAAGCCACAATGAACATGGTTGAGCAAGTGTCCTTGTGCTTGGCTGACCGCATCTTTTGACTATATGCCCAAGACTGGTATAGCTGGTCTTGAGGTAAATCGGTTCCCACTTTTCTGAGAAACTGCTATATTGATTTCCACAGTGGCTGTACAAGATTGCACTCCCATCAGGAGTGTTCCCTTTGCTCCACATCCTCCCCAGCATGAGCTGTCATTTGTGTTTTTGATCTTAGCCATTCTGACAAACATTCAGATGGAATTTCAGAATCATTTTGATTTGTATTTCCCTGACATCTAAGGATGTTGAACATTTTTTAAGTGTTTCTTAGCCATTTGAGATTCCTTTGCTGAGAATTCTGTTTAAATCTGTAACCCATTTTTAATTGGATTATTTGAGGTTTTTGATTATTTAGTTTCCTGAGTTCATTATATATTTTGGAAATCAGCCCTCTGTCTGGATGTGGGTTTGGTAAAAATCTTTTTCCATTCTGTAGGCTGCCATTTTGTCCTTTTGATGGTTTCCTTTGCCTTACAGAAGCTTTTCAGTTTCAAGGGGTTTGATTTACTAATTGTTGATCTTAGTGCCTATAAGATTGGTGTTCTTTTCAGGAAGTTGTCTCCTTTGCCAATGTGTTCAGTCCCTCACTTTCTCTTCTGTCAGGTTCACTGTATCTGGTTGTATATTGAGGTCTCTGATCTACTTGGACTTGAGTTTTGTGCAGGGTGGTAATTATCTATTTGCATTCTGTTACAAGCAGACATCCAGTTAGACCAGCACCATTTGTTGAAGATGCCATCTTTTATCCGTTGTATATTTCTGGCTTCTTTATTAAAAATCAGGTGTCCCTAGGTATATGGATTTACATCTGGGTCTTTGATTTAATTCCATGATCAACGTATGTTTTTATGCCAATATCATGTGTTTTTTTTATTATTCAAGTAGAGCTTGAAATCAGGGATGGTGATACCTCCAGAAGTTCTTTTATTGTACAGGACTGTTTTAGTTATCCTGGGCTTTTTGTTTTTCCATATAAAACTGAGTATTGTTCTTTTGAGGTCAAGATCTTTCTAGGTCACTCTAGCTGACCTGGAACTCACTAAGGAGACCTCTGCTTTCTAAATGCTGGGGTAAAAAGGCTTGAATCACAAAAACCAATCTCTTTTTTGTTTTTGTTTCTGATTTTAGGAGAGTCTTGCAATTGGGTGTCGCTGCACGAACCTGTAGTTCCAGCACTTAGGAGACAGGAGCGGGAAGAACACCGTGAGTCCTAGCCTAGCCTGAGCTACACAGAGAAGTCCTATCTGAAGAAAACAAGGAAGGAAGGAGGCATGGAAACAGGCCAAGAAGAACTGAGATGCTGAGGAGCAAGAAGAGATGGAAAAGAGAAAGAAATGGTGGGAGGGGAGGAGGGAGTCCTATGTAGCTGAAGCTGGCTTCATGCTCATGACCACTCTGCCTCAGTCTCCTCCTGCTTACACTAAGTGCAGACATGCACACGTCAGCTGCCCTCCTTCCTAAATCAACCCATGTATTCTTCTACTATCCCTCTCAAGCAACTTGTTTTTAATTAGTAATCTTTTGGTTCTTAGGCACCATCATTCTCCATGACTCTGATTCTTTGATTTTTCTTCTCTTTTAAATACACTCTTCTCTTGGATCATTTTGAATCCCTACCAATATACCAGTGATGGCCAAATTCGTATAACATCAGCCTCCAGTCATCTTATCTCAACTGAATTTATATGCCCAAACTGACAGTTGTCATGACATTTTAAAGTTAACATGCTCAAAATCTTACTTTCAAGTGAACCTGAATTATTATTATTATTATTTTATTGTTACAATCTCCTACATTCTTGTTACCATCAGCATTGTGCATATGAAAGAGAACAGGAAGAAAAAACCCAGAGTCAGCAGTTAAGAAGCCTTGCTGCTTCTCCAGAGGACCCAGTTCTAATTCCTAGCCCCAACATGGAACCTCAGAACCACCTCTAGTTCCTGGGGGTCCAATGTCCTTCTCTGGACTCTGTGAGAACCAGGCATGAACATGGTGTACTAACATACAGTGTAGGGAAAACACTTGCACACATAAAATACAAAATTAAGCATAAAACAGTTCCTTCATCATATGATTCTATTATTAATTCATATCTCCTCCTTTCCCTGTTTACTCTAATCATATCCTAGCAACCATCTCTTCTCCTAAAAACTATCTTTCTCCAATGCATGCACTCCAAGATTGTGCAAGACACCATTATTCTTACCTAGACTACTGCAAATCTTGTTTTCCCAAATTAAACATTTTTCTATAATCGCCTGCAATCCACTATCTGCATGGCGACCAGTGCTATAAAACAGATTACTACCCTGCAGTAAAAGGACTTTGGTGGTCTCCTACCACACCAAAGACTTCAATTTTAATGTAGATTGCACATGGAACTATGTAATCACTTCTCAATTACTATGTGCGCCACACAGAGTTTTTCCAGGTTCTCGTTGCTAAGCTCTTTCCCAAGGCTGCTGCTTACAAACTCAGGCTGTGCTTCGACAATGCCAGTCACTGGTTCTAAATTCCACCCTGACTCAAGCCATCAATAATAATCACTCAGTCTATGCCACAGACAAGGAGAGAAAAATAACCGCTCTATTCACAGGATCTCACACAGAAATATCTAAAACACTTTAGTAAGGTTTCTAACCTAAAAATGATCTCAGTATTGGTAAGTGTAGGCTCCTTGTTTTCTGTACAAAAATACACTTGCCATAGACATCATCCAGTAGAGCAGCAGGCTTAAGACCCTAAGTTTAAAGCCAAGCTCTGCAAAAAGCAACACGAATACTTTGCTCAAGGACCTAGTCCTGGAAGTCTAAAAGAGGATCATCTCCTTAGAGAACTACAGGCATATTCTGGGTAAGTTTATAGATGCCTGTAATTCAAGTTTATCCTCAGCTATAGTGTTCCAGGCCAACCTGGGATAAAAGACACTCTCAAAAGAAAAACAACATAACAAACTTAGTTGCATACACAGCAATCCCACTGGGACTACAGGTGTCCTCACCCAGGTTCTTGCCTCTCTGCTCTGGGAGTTAGTCACCTACTGTAGCAACAAGCTAAGAAATCTGTATCGGTCTCACTACTTACCAGTTAGAAAGAGCCTGGAGAGCTGCATTCATATAACAAGTATTTCCAATGTTTTTTAGACCTGTAAGGCCTATGAAGAAAGAACAACTATAAGTCACCATTCAAGAAGGCATTAATGACATAAATATCTGAGCTTTTATTGAGAATGGCTTCAAAAGTTAAGCTACAGAAATGGGTTAAAATCTGCTTACTGGTAGAGCATATGCCTACAGTGTACACAGTCCTGAACTCAATGCCTTGTGCACACAAACACACACACACATACATACACATGCGCATGCGTGCACATACACACAGAGGGGACAACAACAAAAAAAAGAACACTAACAAAACATGGAAATACAAGACAACAGTCTGAATAACTCAGAGGCCAGTCTTCTAAAAATCTTTCACTAAACAAAATTTTTGGTTTTTCGAGACAGGTTTTCTCTGTAGCGTTGGAGCCTGTCCTTGAACTAGCTGGCCTCGAACTCACAGAGATCAGCCTGCCTCTTTTAAGTGCTGGGATTAAACTTGTGTGCAACTATGCCTGGCTTAACAATACATTTTAAAAAAAAAATTGAGTTAAGATTACAATTTTCATTCCTCCCAAAGCCCAAGAGGAGGCTGACTTGATGATGCCAGCCCTCCCAGCAGCTCCCTTCCAAGGCTGTATCTTTAGATCTTCTATGTGTGCTCTGTCTTCATCAGTTTATCTCATCATTAAAAGAGAAACCGTCAGTGTGGATGCTAACTCAGAAGCAAAGCGTGTACTCAACATTGTGAGCCCCTGAGATCAAGTTCTAACACACACTGGAGCAACAGCAAATACTTCAAAGATAGACTTACAAGCCAACCATGGTGGTGCATGCCTTTAATCCCAGCACTAGAGAGGCAGAGGCAAGTGGATCTCTGTGAGTTCAAGGCCACCCCAGTCTACACAACAAGTTCCAGGACAGCCAGAGCTACATAACAGAAAGAACCTGTCTCAAAAAAAAAAAAACAAAAGAACAACAACCATAAGAAAGTAAAATTCTAGGACGAACGATGCAGCTCAGGGCAAGGTGATTGTTTGCTATGCACACAAGTCCTGTGTTCTAAGAACTAGCAGGAAAATCAAGGTTCACATTAAAGATTCTGAGCCTCAAAAATACGGAAAATACTGACAATCTAGGAGCTGAAATTCTAGGGCAAGAGGTCCACTGGAATCTCCTGATTCTTTTTCCAAATGAATGCTGCCCCCTTGAAAATTCTATTCTTTTCTTTTCTTTCTTTTTTGGTGGGTGGAAGTAAAATTGAGTGGCTCAGGGCTGACCTCAGCCTCCTGAGAGTTCAGGTTCCACAGTCCGGCTTTCCTTAGGCAGCTTGCTAGGGCAATACCTTCCCATCAGCCCAGCCATCACTGGCAGGTGAAAACTCAAAAATAGGTTGGGAACAAAAGGCTCACAAAAGGCAAGACTAGCAAAAGGTGGCGTCAGCTGTGACAAAGTGACACTGGACAAACCAAGCCTGCACAACCTGCGAACGCAAGGTCACAAGGCCACACTTCTCAGACCTCAGGGAACAGCCGTGCCACAGAGGAACGCTGACAGAGGAGCCTTACCCCTCGCCTTCAGCTCATCTTCTTCTTCTATTTCTATATCCAGGTCTTCAAATACAGCAACCAGAGGGGTTTTCAGTGTTGTATTGCTGGGTATTTTAAAATCCTTAATAACAAAAAGACATAACACATTTGAATAAATTCTTACAATATCAAAACACACTTTAATTTTAATTTATATAACATCTACACTGCAAAACTGTTAAAAGATATTAAAACAAACTGGTCAGCATGGTGGCACATGCCTGTTACCCCAGAACTCACGAAGCAGAGACAAAAGGATAAGGGGTGCAGACAGTCCTGGCTGGTAGTAAGTTAGAAGCCATTCTGGACTACATGAGACCCTGCTCAAAAAGCAACCATAACAGCAGGGTTGGAAAGATGCCTTCGTGCTAAGAGCAAGAGGACCTAATTTGATCCCCAGCATCTACATTGGGTTCTAAACTGTCTAGACTCTTGTTCTGGGGATCTGATGCCTCTCTTGGAGTCCTTTGGCATCTGCGTTTACTTGTGCACACACCTTCACATGGACACACATCCAAATAATTTTAAGAATTAAAAAAAAATAACATAACAATGATAAAGATAGAACCCTAAGAGTTTATGGCATTAGCAATTATTATAAAATTTGTATTTATATTTTACAGAAAGAAAATATCTACAAAACCATGCTTTTTTTGTTTGTTTGTTTGTTTGTTTTCAAGACAAGGTTTCTCTGTAGCTTAGGAGCCTGTCCTGGAACTAGCTCTTGTAGACCAGGCTGGCCTCGAACTCACAGAGATCCGCCTGCCTCTGCCTCCTGAGTGCTGGGATTAAAGGCATGTGCTGCCACCACCCAGCCAAAATCATGCTTTTATTTTAATTATATATTTGCAGATCTATGTGAGAATGTGTGTATGTGAGAATAGGTGCAGGGTGGGCCAGACCCCTGGAGCTGGAGTTACAGGCAGTTTTGAGTTACCCAGTAGAGGCACTAGGAACCAAATTCAGGTCCTCTGTGAGAGCAGTGTGTGCTCTTAACCAGAGACGCTTTTCTAGTCCCCCAAAAACATTTTATAAATGGCAAGCTCAAGAACTAATTTCATGTAAATTAGTGGCATGTCTTGTCTTTTCTGATTCTGTAACTTCTACAGAAACAAAGGACATGGCAGAGGGGCCCATCCACAGACCCACTGTTTCTCTGGGCATCACTGTGCTTGCCAGACATGCACATGTAACCACAAACATGGTTTACAGACCTCTGCAAACCAGAGTCCTCCATCTGCACAAACCTGTCTGTTGAGTCTCCTGGTCCTGTTGCTAACTAAGTTTTGGCATCTCTACTCGTTTCCACTGATAACAGTGAGTAGCAGGCTGCCAAGGGGAGAGAACAGGGGAGAAGCTGTATTCACTCAGCTGCAGACCTCTCTCCCTTCCTAGGAAGACCTTACCGCCTTCCTAGATTCAGATAGGCAGAAAGAGCTAACTATTTTTTTAAAAGCTATATGGAAATCTACTACTGTATAGTTAATTTTTAAAAATTTTTTTAAAGGAACTTGAACACAGGCACTATGCGTAGGTTATTAATGAAAATCTAGCACCTGATATGGAATATCCCTTCCAACCTTTCCTTAAAGACTTTTACAAGTGATAGGTGTTTTCCACCTCAAATCCCACCCTTACCTCCCGTTCACTCTGTGCTAAACAAGAGCAAAGCAAGGCATGAGTGCTCCATTTGGCTTTAAAAGTACAAGTAAGATACTCAGGCCTGCTTCGTAAATTCCAACTGCACAAATTCTGAAATGATTTCCTGAACTTATATTATCTAAACTCAGATTACCTGGACAGTGTTGTCTTGTGTTTGTTGAGGTTGTCTTACATGAGGCAATGAAGGAGGACTCCCCAATTTTCTATCCAAAAATACTTCTTTGCTGCAAGCGTAACACCACACTCGAAGAGTGGTGAGGTTCACAGTCAGATAATGCTTGGTCTCCTACACAGCTCACAGGAGAGAAAATGTGCTTGAGAACGACTCTGCAAAGGAACCCAAAATGAACCCCAGCCTCTGGCGAGCAACAGTCTACTCAAAACAGCTAATCTAGAACACACACATAAACACATCAAAAAATTGTACAGAGTAACTGTAGACGCTTACATAGGAACAACACCTAACCTACTCTCCAAGTTATTCTAGCATCTGTTCCCCTCATTCATAAGACGAAGATAAACACAGCGGTGGAAGCTCCTCAGCTCTGCATCAGCAAAAGAGAGCAGAAGGAAACCGTATGGGCGGTACAGCGACACTGCTGGAATCCCAGCAGCCAAAGGATCACGTGCACAAGATCATCTCCACTGCACAGCGGATCTAAGCCCCGCGGGGCTACAGAACATTTTTTAGGGAGTTGGGAGTGCTAGTTTGTTTAATCTAGGAGAACAGAACTACAAAGGAACACATATTATTTAAATGGAAGCACAATACAACTCAAGCAACAGTTGGTCAATAGCCTTTCTCGGAGCTTTGTGTGAGGGCTTAGCACACAGAATATACAAGATATGATTGGCTGATTTCTCAATTTTCTAAGGGACAGCCATAGAAAGTACCACTTCCAATGCACAGGTAAGAAACTGTATAATGTTGCCTAAGACTGCAAACATTGGTTGAGACTAGCTGCTGCAGATTATCAGTGGGCATCTAAAGAGAGCATTCATTAGAGAAACTTAGGTTAGAGTGGAAGATCTATCTAACAGATCCGAGATTCACGTCAGAGTCACATGGGAAGTACCACACAACGGCGCGATGTCAACAGCACTCAGTCAGAATGGTGTGTAGAGCAGGGGAAAGGGCAAGAGCTGGATTGCGAGGAAGGGAGTCAGGCAGTTAAACCTGCACTGGGCAGCAAGACAGCTCAGCAGGAAAAAGCACTTGGTACAAGCTTGACAACCTGAGATCAAACCTACAACCTACAGAGGAAGGGCATCCTCTGACCCCCACGCATGGAGTGGCACACACGCCTCCAACACACACTAATAAACATTAACTTTAAGACGAACAGAAACCTACACATCTACACTAACTTCCACCTCCATGTCTGATACTACACCTGTAATCTCCACACACATCCATGTATGCTTACTTCTTTTATCAATACTCAGCTACAGTCATGTATTAATGCTGATTTTCTCAAAACCCCACCCTCTGACCTTTCACTGAGAACAAGCAAAGTTTTAGTGAATGTATTTTCTAAAAAGCAAGAACTCTAGGCTGGTGTGCTGTCACATCTGTGGTGTGACACACAGGAGACAAAGGGAGGATTCCAGCTTCCAGGCCAGGTTGGGCTAGGCTACACAGAAGCCTCGCAGGCGCCGGCACAGTCTGAACTAATGTCACACGGACTCTCCGCTCCCGCAAGCTCTTCTGAAAACGCTCGTGCGCGGCCAGGATTCGGCTCAGTGCTCACCCAGTGCACGCTCGGCTTAGGCGCAGCCCCAACACTGCCATGCAGCCCATCACCACGTAAATACCTGTGAGTGCATGGTGCTGTGGTCGACCTGTGACTCGCCGCAGCCCACATAGGAACACCTGTTCTGTAAAGAACAGGCGCACATGTTATCACAGACGCACCAGTTCACAAACGGCATGACAACAGTCCCACTGAAGTCCTGATTTTATGTTTTAATTCTATAATTACTTCCCAAAGTTAGATGACGTAACCACAAGGTATCAACCACAAAGACCAGACTAAGTATTTCAAAACTGAAAGTTATCCCAACTTCAATAAAAAGTAAAGATAAAAATATCTGAGTGGTTTACTAAACTCTACAAACACACCTGAATTAAAATCCATCCAAAGTTTAAACCTTAATTTTTTGTTATTATTTTAAAAGTATACTCACATAAAATTCTTTAATGTGTCAAAAATTGTGATTAATATGTATAAATTTACAAGAGCAAACTTTTCAGGAAAACCACACAAACATATACATACTTCCAAGCATGCCCACAGATTGGGTCCTCTGACTTTGCAGTCCTGACAAGCTCCCTAGGAGAGTAAACACAGGAGATATTTGCTATGTCAGAGAAAACATACACAGTTCACAATAGCAATACATGAGTTTTAAATTTGACATGAGTGTTCTATTAATTTACTTAAATTTGTATTAAAGAGGAAAGTGAGTATGGTTTTTTTAAGGATGATTACAATATAACTTACATGAGATTTTTGTATCAAATCCTCTTTTGTTATTTCACCAACTGAATCCAAATGTGGACAATGATTTCGAAAAGTCGTCATTTTCTTACACTTTTTTCCCTGTTTTTCAAGGTTTTCCAAATCAAGCAATACCTACAGGAAAAGTGACCCAAAAATTAATCACAAAATGTTAACAAGCTAAAAATGATTAAAGCAAAAGATGAAATAAGAAACATACACACTCGCCCTGCAAAGCACGTGCAGCGCACCTGGGGCTGGTGACTGACTAGGAAGGGGAAGACTGATTCAAAACCCTGTCCTCGACTCACACACACACACCGCAGCAATGTGTACCTAAACACACACGTGACACACACGCAGATAAAATATTGGAAAATTTTTAGAATTTGAAAAATTATTAACTACACTGTGGACTTCAATTTAAACACTTGCTAACATTCTTATTCTTTTTTTGTTTTGTTTTGTTTTGTTTTTGTTTTTCGAGACAGGGTTTCTCTGTGGTTTTGGTGCCTGTCCCGGAACTAGCTCTTGTAGACCAGGCTGGCCTCGAACTCCCAGAGATCCGCCTGCCTCTGCCTCCCGAGTGCTGGGATTAAAGGCGTGCACCACCACCACCCGGCTCTCTTCTCTCCTTTTTTTTAAAAAAAATATTTATTTATTATGTATACAATATTCTGTCTGTGTGTATGACTGCAGGCCAGAAGAGGGTACCAGTCCTCATTACAGATGGTTGTGAGCCACCATGTGGTTGCTGGGAATTGCACTCAGGACCTTTGGAAGAGCAGGCAATGCTCTTAACCTCTGAGCCATCTCTCCAGCCCTCTTCTCTCCTTTTTATACCTAAGTAGATGCACTGCCAGACAAGAGGGGAAAACTGGATTCAACTGCTCTTTTACCTTAACTACAAAAGTAAACAAACAAATATATAAAATAATGGGTTTTGGTATGGAACAACATACGGTATAGAACAGTGATCCCAACTGAATGAAAACGAGACAGAACTCTACGATTACGCCCATGAGCCTGGAGAGACGTTCAGAATTCAGAGCAGCGAGGGTGAACCACTAACAGGCCAGGCAGTCTCAGAGGTGAAGGGCCTTGAACGCACAGAGATTCATCTGTCTCGGCCTCCCGAGTGCTGGGGCCACCACCACCAGGCTTTGTGTTTGATTTTTGAGACAAGGATTTATTATGTATTCCCAATCAGCCTGGAACACATTACATTAGACAGGCTGTGTTCCATCCAGTTCAGAGCCTCTCAGGCCTCTGAGTCCTGTGTTACCCCAGCTAGCTGTATCTTTAAAAAGTAACAAAGTAGAAGACACTCAGCATTAGACTCTCTGGTCTCTACTTGTACACACACAAGCATAAAAGAACCCTTAGAAACTAAACTTTATAAAAGGCTGAGGTTTTTGATTTTTGGTTGGTTTGGTTTTACAAGCCCAGAGCCTTGTACATGCTGGTCAGGTGCTCTATCAGTGAACTGGAACCCCAGCCTGCAAGGGCTGGTTGTTTTGCTTTATTTGTTTTTGTTTTTCAAGACAGGGTCTCTCTGTATAACAGCCCTGGCTGTCCTGGAACTAGCTCTGTAGACCAGGAGGGCTCTGAACTCACTAAGATTCACCTGCCTCTGCCTCCCAAGTGCTGGGATTAAAGGTGTGCGCCACCACTATCCAGCAAAGGGCTTGCTTTTAAAAACAGATTTTGCAACAAGATTCTTTTCCAAAGGGACTGTAACAATGTCTACTCTGCTAAAAAGTAAGACCTCCTTCTGACACAATTTTCTCTACACATGATCAAGCTGTGGCACACGCAAGCAGAGGACAGAGCCAGCGCAGCCTTCGCCTGATCATTCAACTGCACAATTTAAAATGCTGATGACCTCTTCTGTCTTCCTAGTACAGAATAGAGCATCTCCCAGATGAAGCATGGGAATACAGCTGTAATTGAAACCCATTTCAAGTTTTCTGTGATATAAAACCTGGGTTCTACATAGGACAGAAAATGTGGCATCTGGTTTTCGGAGTCTACCTTATTTCATTTAACATGGTGACTTTCAGTCCATCCATTTGTCTACAAGTGACATAACTTCATCCTTTTTCATGGGTGAATAAAACTACATCGTGTATATATGCCACATTCTCTTTACCCACTCATTTGTTGGTTCCACACTCGACTACGATGACTAGAGCCTCAGTAGCCATGGACGTGCAAGCGCCTATGCGATGTGCTGGCTTAGATCCCTTCAGGTACAGAGCCAGCAGGGCGCAGCTGGACACCATCCCGATTTCCACCGTGGCCACAGCGTACCCCACCAGCAGCACCCCTCCCCGTTCTCCCCAGCATGTGTCCCTGTCTTCTTAAGGCCAGCCACTCTGCTTGTCAGCAGTCTGAACACAGCTTTAACTGGCATTTCCCTGGTAATGCAGCATGTTCATGTTGAGCATTCCTTTCAAATATTTACTGGCCATCTGTAGTTCTGCTTTTGAGAATTGTTTTCTGGTGAGTTTACTGGATGATTGCTTGGGGGAACGTTTAACTTTTGGGTTCTTCATAAATTCTAGCACTTATCTTCAATGCTCAGTTGACAACACATTTTCCTCTCATCCTGTAATCCTATCTCTTCACTCTTCAAGTTCCTGAACGTTTCGGCATTTCTTTGCTGTCATTTCCTGTTCTTACTTAGGGTTGTATTGGTTTTAATGTGTATGTGTAACTGTATACCAGTGTGTGCAAGTGCTGGTGTACGGAGACTAGACCAGGGTCTGTTCCCCTAGTGCTGGAGCTGCACTTGACTGGACCACTGGGAACTGCACCTAGCTCCTCTGGAAGAGCCGCCCAGTCCACCTAGGCTCCTCCAGAGCCTCAGGTGTCTTCTGAAAACTGGTCTTGCTAAACTTTATCCAGGACCTCTCAGGAGACTCGCAGCTTGCCATTTCTTGCTTCATTTGCTGATATCATCTATGATCAAATCTGGTAAGCAATGATCCCTATGCTGGGCAACACTCTCCCCTGAGCCAAACAAGGTGGCTAGCCCGTTCCTTCCTATGTACACCCACTGGATAATACTACACTACCCACTCTGTGTTTCGTGTGTGGGTAGCATTTTTCAGAGATAAGAGCATGTCAGATAGTATTCGTGGAGCAGCATCTCCAGCAGGGGACAGAGGGTTTTCCTCATGATGACGATGTCTTAAGTGAAAACCATCTGTTATTCTGCTGCTTTCAAAGACAAATTCCTTTTGTCATTGAAGACTCTGTTTTGCTTTGGTTTCGGTTTTTCTGAAACAGGATCTTGCCATATAGCCTTGGCTGGTCTGGAACTCACTCTGTAGACAAGGCTGGTCTTGAACTCAGAGATTGATCAGCTTCTGCCCCCCAAGAGCTGTGGTTAAAGGCATGTACCACCATGCCCAGCCTTTTCAGTCCCTTCAAGATAACTTGTTAATTCAAATTTTTAGCTCATGGATCAGTTTTACTCATTTTGACACACACCTGTAGCAGCAATCACACAAGAGACCAAGGTAGAATGATTACTTGAGCCTAGATCTGAAAGACAATTTGGACAACAGGGTCAGATTTGGCCACAATAAAAAATTAAAATCTGAGGCTAGAGAGATGGCATAGACATTAAGGTATTTATTGGTCTTGCAAAGGGCCTGCATTCAGTTTCCAAAACCTACATGGTACCTCAAAACTATCTGTAACTCCAGATGCAGGGCTCTGAACCCTCTTCTGGACTCCTCAAGCACCAGGTACAAACATGGTTCACATACGTACATGCAGGCAAAACACTAATACACAAAATGAAAAATTTTTAATAAAATATGCTAGGCTTGGTGCTACATGTCTATAATCTAGTTCTCAGGAGATGGAGGAAGGAGAATTGGAAGTTCAAGGCCAGCCTGGGAAACAGAGTAGACCTTGTCTTAAACAAAATAGGAAAGAAAGGAAGAGGGGGAAAAAAAGGGAAAGAAACAAGAAGGAAACAAAAAACAAGCTATACATTTCTCTTAAGGATTTCTGCTGTCTGCTAGTGGAATGGGAAGGTTCTCAAGGCTGCCTCAAAGAAAATAAAGGGGTGGGGACTGAAAAATGAACTTTTTTTTAATATTTATTTATTTATTATGTATACAATATTCTGTCTGTGTATATGCAAGAGGGCACCAGACCTCTTTACAGATGGTTGTGAGCCACCATGTGGTTGCTGGGAATTGAACTCAGGACCTTTGGAAAAGCAGGCAATGCTCTTAACCACTGAGCCATCTCTCCAGCCCCCTGAAAAGGAATTTCTAAAATGGGCTTTCCCCTTAAGGAAAAGAGAAAAAAAGAAAAAAACAAAACTAAACAGAAGGCCTTTCGTATTCCTGTTACCTAGCTTTAGTAAGTTGTTTCAGTTTGGCAACAAAATGATCCTTTTAAGGATGTGTTGGTTATAGTGTATTCAGATGCAGTTACAACAACTAAATCCTTTAGCTCAACTTCTAAAGAACACACAAAAACGGCTGGGCAGTAGTAGTGGTGCACACTTTTAATCCCAGCACTCGGGAGGCAGAGGCAGGTAGATCTCTGTTCAAGGCCAGCCTGATCTACAAGAGCTAGCCCTAGGACAGGCTCCAAAGTTTCAGAGAAACCTTGTCTTAAAAACAAACAAAACAAAACAAAAAACACACCAGAAGAAAAAAAAGCATGACTACTGCCAACCCCGAAGACTTGAGTTCAGCTGCAGTGACCCGCATGGTGGGCGGAGAGAACCAACTCCTCAGCTGCCCTTTGACCTCCACAAAGGCACTGCAGCACATGCCCGCACACCCACAAAATAAAACATCAAAACAGATTTTAAAGCTGATTCTTGTACTTCATACAAATACCCTATGGAGCAAACCCTTCACACCTGTGTGAAGCTCCACAGTTCATGCAAGCAGTCCCGAAACATCCAAATCGTCCTTAACTTTTTATTTTTAAAAAGTGAGTAAAATCTCTAGTCTCTCTTCCTAGAAATACCTGTCTAATTAGAATGTCCAGTTAGTGAGAGTCTAGGTCTATTAAGAGCATAGTCTCCGTTAAAGGGTGGTGGTGACACACCTCTAATCCCAGCATGTGGGAGGCAGAGGCAGTTGGATCTCTGTGAG